GATGCCGGCGGCAAAGTTGAGTGAATCAGTCGTCCCTTTACTCGCAGTAGTCCTTTTTCGTCGAGAAAAGGTGTAAGTTTCAGCAGGCTGCTTTTCGTGGATACAGTCATATTCTTCTTCAAACACTCTATTTCTGCGTTGAAATGTTGTCGTTGGACGTTGTGAATAACCATATCGCCAGCTTCTAATATTTCTTGAAATGTTAAATTGAGAACCTCCCTTTTCCCATGTTGTTTTTCGCAGTTGGTTAAGTTATAATTAATTGTTTTCATTATTTTGCTTTTCTTATGCAAGGCTCGCGTGAATCGCAGTACCCAAGCGAGTACTCGGGTTACGCGCTTGAAATTGCTGTATTTATTTATTAGTATTGTTGTAGTTTCGCAGGTATCATCAGTTTTCATTGCGCAACACATCCGTTTTTTCCGTTTGTTTCCGTTCCATTTTTTGTGAAGTATGATAATGTTTTTTGTTTCAGCTCTGTTTGGTAAGTTTTCAACCATTGTGGACCCTGCCACCACAGGTCCAGAGATAAGAGTTGAGATGCTGAGAGTCCTCGTGTTGCGCAATCCGCTGGATTCTCTTGAGATTTCACGTAATGACATTGACTTGAAGGAATTATGTTATTTATTTTTGTTACTCTGTGCGCAATGTAACCCTCCCATTTATTTACATTGCCTTGTAGCCATGCTAAGACTACTTGCGAGTCACTCCAGCAATGTATGTGTAAGTTTAAGTTGTTCAAAGTTTTCGTGAGCTTTTCAACCAGTTGTGCCAATAGAAGGGCACCCGCAAAGCTCCATTCGTGGTAAAGTGATATTTTTACTAAGGGGTGCGACTTTAGTTTTGGCAGCGATTAGAGTAGTTACATAATCGTCACCATCAATTTTCACCCTGCTGTACACGACGCAAGCAAACGCCTTTTCACTTGCGTCGCAAAAGGCGTGAATTTCTATATGTTTCTCTTCACATTGTAGCCACCGTGGAATTTTGAGTATGTTGACATTTGGCAGATCTTTTCTCAGTGTTTCCCATTCTTTAACAATTTCCTCAGGTAGGTTTTCATCCCAGGCCATTTTACTGACCCACACCTTTTGAAATAATAGTTTTGCCTTTATCGTGACGGGTGAGAGCCAGCCAAGCGGGTCGTACAGTTTGCTAATTTCTCCCAAAAAAATCCGTTTAGTAAGTTTTTTTTCAGGTAAATTCCAGTTGGATGTAAAATTGTCAGTTGCAGGATTCCATCTCATTCCAAGAGTTTTTGTATTTGTTGTTTGTTCTGGATTAAAGTTGATGTTAGTTTGTTTGCATTTTTGATCATCTTCCAAATCTTCTAAAATCTTCTGATTGTTACTCATCCATTTCCTTAAGTTGAAACCCCCCTTTTTCAGTAAATAAATCAAGTCGTTGACCATTTTCTTTGCTGCATCAATGTCATTCTGTCCGTAGACCAAATCGTCCATGTAAAAGTAGTTTTCAAGTACGATCGCAGCATCCGGGTGGTTATATCGTTCATCTCGCGCCATTGGTGGAGGGTGCGCATTGCAAGGTACGTCGCAGCCTTTCTGCCATAGGTAACAGTGCACAACTGCAATTCTTGTAAAGGTTCACAAGGAGATGATCTCCAGATGATAGTTTGAAGGTTTTGTTGATCTTCATGAAGCCAGATATGTCTGTACATCTTTTCTATGTCGGCAGTGAATACATATTTGTACGTTCTCCAGTTTATCAGTAATGTAAGCATGTCCTTTTGTAAGTTTGGGCCGCTGTACATGAGATCATTCAAGCTGTTCTCTGTTTTCGTTTTATAGGAGGTGTTGAATACTGCTCGTAGCTTCGTGGTGGTGGATTGCATTTTTAAAACTCCGTGGTAAGGTAAGTATACGTGTTTTTTCTCTCTTTCTGTTACAGGTTTCATATGACACATGGAGATGTACTCATTCATAAAACGTTTATATTCAACTTCAAATTCCTTATTTCTCTGCATCTTCTTCTCCAATTGCAGAAATTGAGCTAGCGCTTGCGATTTCGTAGCTCCCAGTTTGGCTTCGTAATCGGGTTTCGTGGGCATTTGCACGACGTATTTTCCATCAGCTTGTCGCTCAGTAGTTGATTGGTAGTGTTTCTCACAATAATCTAGTTCGCTTGTTGTTGTTGAGTTTTCTTCAATTTCTTCTGTTTCCCAGAACCGTGACATATTTTGCAAGTCATTTAATGTCACAAGGCAGTTAAAAGTTTTTGACATTCCCGCATAATACCCATCCCACTCTGGTTTGTTGAGCAACAGGGAAGTTGTCGTCATTTTTCATTACTCCATTCAGTATAAGTTCTGAGTAAATATCCGCACCCAAAAGTAAATCAATAGGCCCAGACACGTTGAATTCAGGGTCGGCTAGTTTAAGATTTTCCAAGTAGTGCCAATTTTCAGTAGAAAATTGGTACCAGGTAAGCTGTTGACAAGTTTTCGCATTATAAGTGTCTCTATGTTAAAAGTATAGTCAGAGTGAATAGATTTGCACCCTTTGCAGTTCCCGGAAAATGATCCGACTCCAGACACTACGGCACTCAGTTTCCGCCGCGGTAATCTGAGACGTTGAGCTGCATCCTCTGTTATCAGGCTAACCTGTGAGCTTTGATCGAGTAGCCCTCTTAGTTTGATGTAAATGCCGTCTATACTTTTCACCTTAAGTTGTACGGTCGTTAATAAAACTTCTTTTGCGTCATTACTTATGTTGTTAACAGCAGGTGGGGTAGTAGATGTTGAAGGGCTGAAAGTTTTTGGCTGGCCCGTTTCATGCATGAGTGTATGATGAGGCATGTAGCATAGTTTACGTCTCTGTTGTGAGGTGCATAATTTTTCTCCGTGACTGTACAAACAGTTTTTGCAAATACATAAATCACGAACGGTGTTATGTCGCGTGACCGCGATCATGTTCAAAAATTTCTGACATTGCATTAGAACATGATCAGTTTTGCAAATTGGGCATGTTCGCGTTGTCGTGAAGTGGCTCTTCGCTGCTATTTGTGGCTTGTTAAAGTACGATGACCTCGGCACATTGTAGTGTTTATAATAATTATTATGACGTGATGTGGATGGTGATGGTTTACGACGTTTGTTTCTGGTTGCTCCCGCCTTGTAATGTTTCAAGCGCCATAAATTTCGACTCTAAAAACTGAATAAATTCCTGTAGGTTTGGAAAACTTCTGGGTTCTTTCAGGTCTTTCATGTACTCGTAGTAGGTCACACTGTCCAGCTTCTGCACCAGTAGATGAACAATTATTGGGTCCCAAGTTTTTATATCGAGTCCAATATTTGTAAGTCCGTTCAGGCATTCTAGCATGACGTCATGAAGTTTCCTTATACTCGCAGCGCTCGCTTGTTGTATGGCAGACTGGTTCAATAGAGTGTTCATGTACGATGTAAACAATAGTCGACCATTATCGAATCGGTGAGTAATTATCTCCCAGCAAGAAGTATAATTTTGTGCACTGATTCCAAGATGTTGTACTAATTTCTCGGCTTCACCCTTTAGTTTAGATTTTAGGTGTTGCATCTTTTGCGCCTTTGAGAGTAGCGGGTTGTTATGCACGCTTTCGATGTAGAGGTCCTTAAAAGTTAACCATTTGTTGTAATCTCCATAAAAGTCTGGTATTACAATTTTTGGCGTAGCGTTCTCATAATGAGAGTTATTCCAAATCTTATGTTGGAGCGTTTTCCGTATACTGTCGTAAATATCCTCTACCACGTTGTATTTCTGTTTGTACGTCGAGTCTTCGTCTTGAAGTATGTAGTCAAGCTCCCAGTTAGCCTTTTCTATTTGACCCCATTTCATTTTCAAAGTGTTTAAGTTGTCTTCCAGCTCCCATTTCTCCATAGTTGTGTCTAAGTTAATTTTGTCCACAGTTCGTTCAAACGTTTTAAAGTTGCAGTATTGTTGACGCAAAAGTTCTTTTTTCTTCTCTTCGGACCCGCCAGTTGCGGGGGGCGGGACATGAAATTCAACGTCGTTAAAGTTAAACTTTGATTTCACATTCCCAATGTCTTTTGAGGGAGTAGTTCCCGTCTGAGGCTTACACTCCAGCTCCGCCTTTCGTTTCAGCATGTCTTGCAACACTTTCTCGTACATAACTTTAGTTTTAGTGTAAATATCATCCTTAAAGTATTGGATGTCAAGTTCTCCGGTCTCTTCAATAACTTGGTGAGTGCGCACAAACAATTCCCACTGCTTGTTGAGCCGTGCGAGACGTTCGTCTAAGTAGATCAAAGTTTTTCTTGCAGAGCTATCTTTCGCGTAGTTGTTACACAACGTCTTCAGTGCTTCGAAGTTATTTTCTTGTACAGTAATTAGTTCCTTGACGCTCGGAGCCATCGTTGTAGTAAATAAGTAAAAAAGTAGATAATTAATTCGTAGAGTAAGTATAAGTAGTAGTTAGATGTTAACCGTCGGCAGGTGTAGGGCGATGTATTGCCGTGGCACTACTCGTAGTTCAATAGAATCACGAACTTTTCGTTGATTCCTGTTTCTCAGTGCAGTTGCACTTAATAACGCTATGTGCGCCTTCTCAATACGACCGGTGAGACCCGCTTGTGGGAGGCCAGTCGTACCGATTCGCTAACGTCACTAGCACAAAACACTGAAAACAACTAATTGCTCGAAGGACCAAAATGTATGGTTCTCTGAACGTCTAAGATTGGAGTATTATTAAGTAGAGTAGGATATAGAGTTGACATAAACCACAGTTTCCGTAATAAGTTGATGTATTAAGTAAAAAGTGTACAGCACAGTTTTGGATGCTTGTCTGTGGCCGATCGCTAGTGAAGCGAGTTGTCAACTGTCTTTTATGAGCGTTTACACGTGCAATATGTAGGTTGTTAAGTTAGCAAAGTATTGTACGGTGCAAAAACCGTACACTACTCTTGCATTGAATTGGTTCTATACGAACTCTTTTTAGGCACGAATGGTATATGTAACCTGAACCAAAACAACATTAAAATGACTGACCTGGCATGTGCTTGCGTACGGCTCCTCTGCGCATGCCTCCAGGCGGCGGCTGCGCGCGCGCGCCACACGGCCGCCTCATCTGCCGCCGCGGCCGCGCCCGCTTCTAGCGCTGCGCACGCGCTGCGTAAATCGACCACCTGCCGATCATTAACATAAAGTAGTTTTACAGGTAGTTGGTCTCATTAGAGATCATGGGATGTGGCAATAGATCATTGGAATTGCGGCTGGAGCGTATAGTTTTTTCATTTTTTTTTGTTCCAATAAAAAGTTAGTAAAGAATAATCCGATGCTTCGAGTTGAAAAGAAAAAAGTCGTGTGTAGATCAGTAACGTCGCCATATTCACCGTTCGCTTATTACGGTTTTTTTTTCAGTTAATCACTTTTTAACTAAAAACTTTATATTAAGGGATTGTAGTAAATTAATACGTAAAATTCTTGTAAGTGGCAAGTGAATACTATAGAGTTTGTTCACCTACCAATGAGTGAGGTCTGCGTGACAATTTTTTAAAATTACGTATAATCATAGGTTTTAGGTATTTGCAACGCTTAATTAAACAAGGTAATATTTTTCTTAGCTACAAAAAAAATAAAAAGGCAGCTAAATCCATATGCTATGCATATGCACTAGAGATATAGGATAGTAAATAACAATGTTTATATCAACTTCAATCAAAGTATACAGTGACGGCAGATTATTACGTGTTATTCACCTTCTGGAAGTATCTATATAAAAGTGTCTTAATTTCATCATGCGACAACTTATCCAGCCTGGCCATTAGCATCTGTTCTCCCCGGCTTCTCGAATCTTTATTGTCTTGGGAATCAGAAAGAGAAGCTGAAGGCGACTTCCCACAAATCAAATTATTCTTGTACTCTATTGCTGTGTCAATTGCCTCTATTGCTTCTTCACATTCAAGCAACTTACGTTCCTGAAAACAAAAAATAAAATCATCTCCGAAATTGATACATAACATGATTATGACATCAACTGTACTGCAATCCATATTATTTACCTCTGAATCTGATAAAGATTTGTATATTTTCCTTTTGTGACCTAAACTGCATCTTTGCTCATGCAAACACTCTCTTGTTTTCCTTAGATTTTTAATTTCTTTTCTTAACATCAATTCTTTTTCTTTGGATAGTTCCAAGTTTTCTAAATCATTTGTTTTCTCCTTTAATATACTGTCTAACTGAGTAATTCTATGTGTGAAATGTTTCAATGTATTGGCTTTCCTGTCTTTCACTTCAACAGAAGTCTCTGATAATTCATCTAATTTCAACTTATCTTTAACTAATTCAACATCTAAAGTATTTCTTCGTTTCTCGTCCTTTTTTATTTGTCTTTTTATTTGTTCAATTTGCTTTTTATAGGTTTTCAGGTTTGTTTCATGTCTTCTTATTTCTTTTACAGTGTCTTGGTCTCCCACATTATCTAGCTTCTCTGAGTGTGCCTTGTTCTGAGTATTATGGGACATTGTTTTTGAGAGATCATCTATCAATCTTTCTTTTGCTATGCAAAGATTTATCAACTCTTTCAATTGTGTCTGACTGCTACTAATTTCTTTAGACAATTTTCTAGCTAAAATCTGTTTTTGAGTGTACTTTTCCTTAGTAATTTTATATTTTTTACATAACTCATTGGTTTTAGGTGAATCAATCATCTTCAACAATTCTCTTTCAATCAATTTTGGTTCAGGGTCTACGTCTTTTTTATGAGATTCAATAAGTATTTTCTGAGTTTCTGGAGAAATTGCCTTAGCAGCCACCTTTCTTAAGAGTTCTAATTCAGCACCTGAGAGGCTTTCACCAGGTTGAATGGTTCTTCTGCGACCAGAATTGGACTGTGAGGTCATAATAGGCAGTGACTGGGAGCCGCTTGTTTCCGATATTGTAATGTCATCTGAATCTATGTGGTTTAAATATTCTTCACATCTGTCTGCAAACTGCTGATCATTCTTTTCCCTAAAATATTCCATAAACTTTTCAACTTTATCTTGAAAAACAGTATCAGAATGGCTGTCCACAGAATCAGATTCTACATCAGATTCACTAGGCTCACTGGGTTCAGTGTCTTCTGCTATTCTTGGTAGACCCTGCTTTGGACCTACTTCTTTATTATCCACACCATCACCATTTAAGCATTCGTCACATTCTGCCTTCAGAAATAACCACTCACTAACTTGGTTAATATCAGCTTCTGACAATGACTTTGACTGCAAAATCTTGTTAAAAAGTCCTTCAGCATTTGATACTAGCTTGATCCATTGGGTAGTAGCAAACTGAAGATTAAAGTTATTATCAGCAGGTTGCAGTACTACTTTCTCATTGTACACTGGAGTATTATTATCTGCAAAATAATTGACTGTGACTAAGTTCTTTATTCCCCGACAGCACAGGCATAAGTTTAATATCTTCAAGGTATCTTGGTAGTCTTCAGGTTTAGTGCTGATACAACCTATGACCCAAGTGAATGCTCTGCCTCCAAATGAGTCTCTCAACATTGCAGTAAGAATACAGCGGTCATAATTTATTTGCTTGGGTGGATTGCCTGCTAGTAACTCTTTAATTATGTTCTCTAGAGCAAAGAGGCCCGAGTCAGGATAGGCAGCTAGGTCACAGAAGCTAGCAGTGGACATTCTGTGGTTGAGGACTCCATTGGTGCCTACCCACTTTTGCTCCATGCTTACTGTAAACACAGTGTGATTATTTCCAAGACATCTTTGTCTCCATCCCAACTGAAGGTACTGAAATGCCTCTTCAACATTGCAGCATCTAACTAAGCCAGCTCCAAGCACATCAAATATGTTATTATTGACCACTTGCATCCATGTTATGTGCAATATGTATTCTCTTTCAGGCATCTGGTTTAATTTATGAAATATGTCAGTTAGAAACCTAGGCACAATTCCTTGGTCACTTTCACTGTGGATACATTCAAAACCTGCAATTGAAAGGATTATTTAGATATCAGAAAAAAATTCGCAAATCAAACCATAAAGATTGAGTAACGTACCAGGTCCAAATAAAGTGTAAGTTTTTCCAGTCTTGGGTTGACCAAAAACAACAACCGAAGTATCACATCCATCCAAGAAGCAGTTGATCTGTGGTATCATAAAAGAACTGAAGAGGGTCGCTTGAGTGCAGTCTATTGGTAAAGCCCTGTTCACATGAAACGTTTGTCCACTCTCAGTGATGACTGTTTGATTTGCTGGATTACTAAATATGCACTGTGTAGAATCAACTATGTTTGGCGGCTTCAATCGAACAGCTATTTGCACAGGAATATCCATTTTTACGAAGTGAACTAGTTACATTCGAGTCAATTTAAAACTGAAAACAGAAGCACAAAAATCTAATTAATAATGTACTTACTGAAGACAAATAATAGTAAGTTGCACAATAAAAATCGTTGAGATAAACCTATAAATTCATTTCTTATGAAGTACGTCAATTTCATACAATATTTTATAGTAACAGTAATGTATACATATACATAATGGACACAATCCAAAACAAACACTGCTTTTATAATTCGGGAGTAGCCTGAGACTGTCTAAGGCTACTCCCGAATTATAAAACCAGTGCACGGCAATATGTAGATTCAAACTAACATAGAAATACACCAATTAAAACTATGTTAATCAGTGATAGAAGTAAAGTAGTTGCATATATAAAAACGAAATTCAACAGAAATAAATATACCTTTCCATTTCATACAACACAAACAACAAACTACAGTTTTAATTTTACCAATTGGTTTGTTTGTTCCATTTCAAGAATAATGTGTGAAACGTTAGAGCAGGATACTTGTATAGATATATTTCCTACGATGAACGAGGATAGCAATATCAGTACAATTACAATTAAAAGAGAATATGCATTTTTACGCTGTGGTCACAAAGTTGTCAAAAATTTTTCGATATTGCCATTTTCATGTTGCAGAGTTATTTATATGTTGGACGCAAGACTTACAATTATATGGACGTCAGGTCCGCGCTAAAAAGTGTCCGAACTTATAGAGCGTTAAAATCGTATACAGAGCGTCATTCACGCTTTAGTCTTCGTTTGTTCGACTGACAGCGAAGCAAGCAAAATTAGATAGTACTGCGATGACATTATAATTTAAATTCAACGTTTTAGCTTTTTCATATTCCTTTACATGTCACTACGCTTAAATAGGTTGACTTGGGACATTTTTTTCGTGGTTTTTGTGTTAGACCCGTCGTCCATTTGTTTGTAAGTTAATGATTGGACGACAAATACGTAACGTACGGGCAGGGCCAAGCCAAGACCAGGTCAAGTCTAATTCAACTCTATTAGCATAAAATTAGAAAGGTGTTAAGTTTAATGAGCTCTTGACTTAGCGAGTAATCTTCAACAAAAAGTTAATTCGAACATAATTAATATGTTCACTAGCCACATGAACTAAAAAAAAATTATTTTTCTGTACAGCTCAATTTCAACTAAATCCACATTTTATACGCCAAGAATGTCATGTTGCGAACATGGTAGCTAGATAAATGAGTAACACAGCTTACTTTTCACATGTTAATTAAGTTCCAAAGTACACTAGATATGAGTTTTTTTTAGTAATAATAATTAGTTTCAATTCAAATTTTATTGGTGACATTAAAGCGGCTAGGAGATTATCCACTCAACATTTGTTTTTTTGTGGCTGGCAACACCTGCAACCAAATTCCTTTTTCCGGCTCTCTGTGTCAAATAAAGTGAGCAATTTTAGTTTTTTCAAAGAAAATCCAAAATAATCTGATGAAACTGTAAACCATTTAATGTTTTTCCTATTTTCTGATATGTGATTAATCATGCGTTCCACGTTTCAGTGAATATTTGTAATATCAATGCTTAAAAAACATAAGTGATTGAGGTTGTCATTTGTTGATAGGTTAGATTGTTGATACGAGATATAATTTTCGTTTTAGGCCACAGCATGAAGCAGATAGTAGCAAACCAAAAAGTGAAGATCCCTGACGGACTCACTGTCCATGTGAAATCGCGGTTGGTTACTGTGAAAGGGCCGCGCGGTGTCTTGAAAAGGAACTTCAAGCACTTGGCTGTGGACATTCGCATGGTGAACCCTCGCCTTCTGAAGGTGGAGAAATGGTTCGGTTCAAAGAAGGAACTCGCAGCTGTGAGAACTGTCTGCTCGCACGTCGAGAACATGATTAAAGGTAAACAAATTGTCTTCCGTACACATTACGATAGATTGATTGAAAGTTCTATTAAAATTTGAAACTGTTTAAATACAGTAGAATGTTTCATAAACCGCTCCTTTCTCATCAATTTCCTATTAAAATGTGTATATTCCAAATAAGTGTTTAAATTAAAATTTGGATTGGAGCTTATGTTTTGGAACACAACATTGTAAAGTTAACTACTTACCTTTATTTGGATCTATATATAGGTAGTTTAGAAAAAAGAACTTAAGTGTGATGTGTTTTTCTTATTTACTAGTACTTGTAGGTTTCATAATATAAACATCATCATCATCCTATTAATACGCCCCACTGCTGGCCAGGGGTCTCCTCTCAGGCGAGGGCTTATATCCCTTGCCTTTATATAAACAGTAAGTTGTAAAAACTGGAAAAGAAACAGTTTTGTCTTTAGTAGTGAGTGGCTTTTAGGTGTTTATCAAATATTTTTTCCTAATTTCAGGTGTAACCAAGGGATTCCAATACAAGATGCGTGCAGTATATGCTCACTTCCCCATTAACTGCGTAACTATTGAGGGAAACACTACTATTGAAATCCGTAACTTCTTGGGCGAGAAGTACATCAGGAGGGTAAAGATGGCACCAGGAGTGACTGTTGTCAACTCTCCCAAGCAAAAGGATGAGCTGGTAATTGAAGGAAACTCCCTGGAGGATGTCTCTAGTTCGGCTGCCCTCATTCAACAATCTACCACTGTCAAGAACAAGGATATCCGAAAGTTCTTGGACGGTCTATATGTGTCTGAAAAGACTACTGTTCTACAAGAAGAAATATAAGGATATTGTGTAACATAATATTTTTTTGTTTTATTCATAATTTATGGAAGATTATTGTTACATTATATGAAAAAAAATCTAACCTTTATTATTAGTTTTTTGGATTTATTAATTATTTTGTGATACATTATGCTTTTACTACTAATTACTTTACTTTTTTACTAAATACTACTAATGATAATATCAACTCGGCTATTCTTGTTAAAATGTATATGAATGAATTGATCTCGATACTATAGTAGGCTAACAGTCAAAATAGAACAAAAAAAGGCAATAACTCAATTATCTGCTATCACTAACTATCGATAACAATTACATCACTATTTAAAATTTTATGAAAACTGACAACCCTACAAATGTCAATTTACTCCATTCTTCAAAAAAGAAGTAGAAGAAGCAAGAAAAGTATAGGTAAGTGCATGAGATGGGTTTTTACCTGATAAATATCCGTTTTTACCCGATAAATATCCGTTTTTACTGAGTATTTATCCTAAAACGTGGATAATATTTTTTTTGTGTTTTTTATTATAAAATTCATTAGAATTCAT